TTCTTTCTTTCTTCTTTTCTTTCTCTCTTTTTTTCTTTCTTCCTTTCTTCCTTTCTCTCTCTCTCTCTCTCTCTCTCTCTCTCTCTCTGCATTACTTCAGATTGAACCCACAGCCTTCACACTGAGCTATATCCCTAGGTACCCACCTCCTCCCTTGATTAGTTTAACACAGGGTCTTGCTAAGCTGCTAAATTGCCCAGGTTGCACTCAAACTTGTGATCCTCCTGCCCCAGTTACCTAGAATGCTGGGGTTACAAGCATGTGCCACCATACCCTTGGTATCTTGCTAAATTCCCCAGGCTGGCCTTGAACTTGCCATCCTCATTCCTCAGCCTCCCAATCAGCATTCCAAGTAGCTGGCATTACAGGGATGCACCTCCATACTTAAGTATGATTATCCCTACTTTCCCATCCTCCTCCTCCTCTTCTTCCTTATCTTCTTTTTTTGTGGCACTGAAGATTGAACCTAGGGCTTTGCATTGAACTATATCCCCAGGACATTTTATTTTTTAATTTTGACATAGAATTCACTAAGTTGCCCCAGTGAAACTCAAATTTGAGATCCTCCTGCCTCAGGCTCCCCAGATGCTGTGATTTTCCCTTTTTATTGTGTCATGTATTCTCTTGGTTTTAAGCAACCATATCAGGCTCTGGATATACAAAGTAAGTGGAGGGTCTTATTAGATGGAAACAAGAAGCAGATCAGCCTGTCCCATTGCTGTGCTATCTGTGAGCCAATGGTCTCTCTCCCTTACATGTGAAAAAGTATCATTCACTCAAGATTCAACATTCCATAACAGACTCAGGCCTAGATCCCAGGCTCATCCTCTGGCTGTCCAGATCAGTTTCCTAGGGCTGCTATTAAGCTACAGGCCGACTGGCTTAAGCAACAGCAATTTGCTTTCTCACAGCTCTAGAAGTATGAAGTCTGAGGTCAGAGTGTTGGCTGGCTTGGTTTCTCTCAGGGCCCCTGTCTTGGCTTGTAGATGGCTATTTTCTCCCCATGCGTGTCTGTATCCTAATCTCTTCTTTTTTTTTTTTTTTTTTTTTGGTTTTTCTCCGGTTCCGGGAACTCACGACCTTGCGCTTGCCAGGCAGGCGCTTTTTGCCGCTGAGCTAAATCCCCAGCCCCCTCTCTTCTTATAAGGACATACTCACATTGGATGGGGCCACACCTTAATGACTTCATTTTAACCCCTTACTCCCTTAAAGACTCACTGTCCAAATAGACACATTCTCAGGTGTAAGGGGTCATTCGTAGTGGTTCCCTGATTGCTCCATTTAGCTCTGCTGGCCACTCCCTCCCCGAGCTTCCCTCCCTGAACTCTTTTGTCAGCTCTTCTTTTGCTTGCAAAAGAAACTTTCTGTGTGCC